ACCACCAGGCCCTTTGTGGAGTGCACAGTTTAAAAGCGTATGTATATATAATCACAAACTTCACTAAAGTAACCGCCAAAAGTAGTACAAAACACCTGAAAGAGTTGAGAAAAACATAAGTTTCAAAAAGTGAGGCAAGCTAGCAAATCGTCCAAACTTACTATAGTGGCTGGAACAATGTAGGTACGAAAGGAAAGAAATCATAATTGGCTATCTCAAGTGTCACGAATATGGTTGTTGATGGGAAATCATTCATGTTATGTTACTAAAGTTGATATTTGTTATAATTGGTTGTATACTAGCCTAGATGTTAGCCTGTTGTTTAAACGTAATGCAGCATTCCTCTAAAAGGTTTTAAAAGGTTAAAGGTTCGAAGATGATTTACTTTTCATCAGATGCAATAAAAATAGTTAAGTTTCAAAAGTTTCTGTCAACAGTGAAGTCAAATAGAATTAGCTATTAATTTTTACTTGTAAGCAGAACACAGAAACACTATCTAAAACATTTGTCACATTAGTGTATTATAGAGGGTTGAGGACGTTTTTTTACTTGTAAGCAGAACACAGAAACACTATCTAAAACATATGTCACATTAGTGTATTACAGAGGGTTGAGGACGTTTTTTTTACTTGTAAGCAGAACACAGAAACACTATCTAAAACATTTGTCACATTAGTGTATTATAGAGGGTTGAGGACGTTTTTTTACTTGTAAGCAGAACACAGAAACACTATCTAAAACATTTGTCACATTAGTGTATTATAGAGGTTTGAGGACGTTTTTTTACTTGTAGGCAGAACACAGAAACACTATCTAAAACATATGTCACATTAGTGTATTATAATGGGTTGAGGACATTATATTAAAACGATTTTTTTATATGCAAATCAACAAGACATGTGACAATTGTGGCAAAGCCAGAGGGAAGTCCTCTCTCTCCGGCTCCCCAGCAATCCTCATTAAGAGCTACAGCTCACAGAGTATCATGAGATTTTCTTCCTGCGGGCCTGGTGGTTATGGCGCTCGACTCGCAATCTGCTGGTTGCTGATTCAAATCCCGTCACCGAACGTGATCGCTTTTTCGGCCGTGGGAGCGTTATAATGTGAGAGTCACTCCCACTTTTCGTTAATAAAAGAGTAGCCCAAGAACAGACGGTGGGTGGTGTTGACTTTTTGGCTTTCCTCTGGTTTATTACTTCCAAATTAGGAACAGCTAGCGCAGATAGCCCTCGAGCTGCTTTCAACAAACAAACAAAGTGTTTTGTGGCAGCAGGCAACTGCAGACGAGAACACATCATCCAATATCTGGTTATCCTTGTTCCCTTAGCAGTCAATCAGAGTAAGGAATGAGAACATTTGAAAGCTACTCATTGTGTCTGTACTAAAACAAAATGAAAAAATCCATGAAACATTCCGCAGTAAAAATAATCCCATTTCAGAGCTTCTTTTTTTATCTTCAGTGACTTTTAATAAAACAAAGCATTTTGACCCTCAAACTCATCTGTTTGCCCTTTCGCCCTCCTTCATGATCATGGAGTCGTTCCTGCATGAAAACCATAGCTGATATTAGGTCATAGTGGAACGTCTGTATAGGTCGTTGTTACTGTATTGTTAGTGCAAACTACACAATGTGCATATGCATTATGTTTGAATATTAGCATTGCAAGTCCGTAAACTTGCCATTGACCCACCGGGGAAGGTCTGTATAAGATTCTCTCCCAGCGTGATATGTACCTGTGGTAGGTATTCTGTATCTACAGAGGGTTGAGTTCGTTATAATAAACAAACTTAGGATATGCAAATCAGCAAGTTACATGAGAACTGCAGTCGAGATTACGTCGCGGTGGAAGGGCATGAATAAAATCTACATTTTGAAATTGGTGTTACGTAAATAGTGTGATGCAATCAAAAACTGATCGCTTTGTGGTAATAATTTGTAACAGCCTCTTCCGATGCAAATTATTCATACTCTCAGATCATAAAGATATGTTCAGATCGAGGATTTAGAAGTTCGAAGACGGGGATATCACTTGTACTTAATTACATGGGAAAAAGCAAAAAAATATGGATCAACTTGGAACACCAGGACCATCCAGAAAATGACCTGCAACAAGACGTACCCAAGCAATGATAAGTAAAGTTTGGCGTCTTGTAACAAGTGAGGATCTAGAAACACAAAGGAAAGTGGCTAAAGCCATCCGCATGCCCCAGGCAACAGTATGCAACATAATCAAGAAAGTTGTCCATCTAGAAAAGCAACACAAGTTGCTCCTATGACATATCCAAGAAAGGCAGACCAACTGTAGAAAACTGTAAGAACGGTACTTGCCAGATAAAAATGGAAGCTCGTGGTGACCCTTGACGAAGTGTATGTTACATTTTTGATAACTGTAACAAGTCTCTTGCCAATTTCTACTGGTCAATGGGAGAAAACATTTCTCGAAGTTGTGCACAGCATGTTGCGAAACATTTAAGAAGGGGTTCATGATCATCGCTGGATAATGCATCAAGATGGACTCTGCATACCATCAGATCACTATTCTGGACCCTTTATATTACACAGAAATACCGGCTTTGTACGGAAACGAGGCTAATAGGAAAGGCTTATTTTGATGAACCTGTAGATCACCAAGATAAGTTTCCAATAAACTGCCCGTTCAACTGTCGCATACCTTAAGCTGCTAGATAAATGTTATTCACACTATTCTTTACGAATATATACCGGTAAAATCGCCTAATGCAGCGCTTATGAATTACTGTGCAATTTACTGTTGAAATAAGCGTTGGAAATCATCGTCCTCTTACACTAAATGGATTATTGAAAATAATCAGGGAGGATTGGTGTGCTTTGGACATGACAGTTTTACGACGGAGCCTTTTGAAATAGGAATTAAGCTGCAGGTGCACGGTCGTCAGAAAGAGCATGAGCAGACGTGATGACATCGTTTTAATATAACATATACTCAACTCTGTATTTTCTAAAAGGCTTAACTTTCACCTGGGAAATAAAATTAATTGTGTACTTATTAAACACAATTAAAATATGTAGCAAAACAACTCTTTAATAAATAAAATGAGGTTAATATCAATGCTGCTGTTTCTAAAAATATCAATCTTTTACAATAATGACAACAACAAAAAAGATTCAAAGATAAAAAGTATACTAATTCACTTACTTACATTAAAATCATTATTATTATGCACGACCTTTTACTTTTTCGTTTCTAGATCTTAATAATAGATACCTCATGTGCAAAAATTGCATGCTATACAACAAGGTCTTTATTTTTCTTTAACTTTCATAATCTTATTAGCTGACCAATCATCGTTACAACCTTCCACGAGCATTATTTTGAATAGAATAAGTAATTCGGAGTAACATTATTTTTTTTAACTTTTAAAACCAAGTTGAACTATACTTACGTGGACCACAAGCGATGAAACGATACAGGTGCGTGAACCATCTCCCCAACAAGAGGACCCATCATTTAACCTCTCTACTACACAATTCCCATCCTATGAATGGTAGGCATAACAAGCACCTTTGGTTTTAGGAAATATACTATACTCGAAAACGTTGTTCTTATTTTGACTAGGTGATGACTGTTGGCATCCTATTACCTGACGAGAAATCACAGAGAACCAAAAATTTGGATAACTATTAAACAAAAAAAAGTATTTCAATTCAACCCTAGAATATATTTAATATGCGTACTTAGAAGGAAAGGAACTGTGAACTATAATCTATTTCTTGCAAATTATTAAGATTACAGTCAAAAGATAGGCGAATATAAATATAGGTTGCTGATGTGTACAGGCAGAAACGATGGCTGTACGACTGGCTAACAATAATGTTACATAAACGTGCTCTTGACCGTCCCTATCTATTTTTTAATGAATATTTTGAAATCAAATGGTGGAAGTTTTATGGGCAATTTGAGCATACGCCCGACAAGTTAGAATTAGTATATAATTGGATGAAGAAGAAATCATAAAACAACAGCTCAGCTCTTAAAAAATTCGAACATCTGAGTCTGCAATCTATTTTATTGTTCTCTTCACGAGTGATAGGGTTTTTGAAGCTTCTGGGAGGATTAATTACTTAAAACACATTTAGTAGCAGCTAATATGTTAAACCTTGAATAGAAACCACGAACCGGTGCCTTGAGTAAGTGACAATATTTGAAACATTGATAATAAATACGGTTTAGTGTTAACACAGTAATGTAAGAGGGTTATAAAATAAGATAAGAAAGTGATCAGATCATGATATTACTATCTATTCACTGAGTGTGGTGGTGTTGAGAAATGATACGAACAAACATTTATTTGCTGTTTTTATAGTCTGTGGTGAAAACTGTATCTTTTAAATAATTTTGATTTTCAAATGATGGCCCATATTGGAAGTGATACGATGCAAAAAAAAAACAAGGATGATTTGAAAATATTAATCATATTCAATTTTTCATTTTTTCCTTTATAAAAAAAAATAAATGCAACTAATTTACGTAATTGTCGAATTTGATAATAAATGGTTTCCAAATACAATTAATTGGTCTGAGTAATTTGCAATGTAAATATTTTGCATAATGGTGCATGGAAAGTTTCGGTTTAGTCACGTAATACACGAATTGCTAGGGCTAAAAAAACACTGGTGCAAAAGTAATTAGCTGAAATGTACTAATACATTATTAGTCATGGTTATGTGAAAAAGAAAGAGCAAAACTGACAGTTACTGGCTTTCAACATCACAGTGTTAAAGAGATATCTAACTGAAAGTCCTGTTTGAAACACGTGCTATTTATAAATCTCCGCGTATAAATAGTTGCTTGTTTGTTTGTTGTGTTGTTAAGAGTAAAGCTACAAAGCTAGATATCTGTACTCTGCACACAGTGGGTATCGAAACCCAATTATTGATGTTATAAGCCCTCAGACTTTCCGCTGATTCACTGGGTAGAGATATATATAAATAATCTTGCTTATTATTTAAGAAACAATTGGATAGTGGTGTGTTCCCTTAACATGTAACTATCATGGCAGAAAAGTGTTTGAAACTTTAGCCGCTAGAGGTCAGCCAGTAAGACATCAGTTTCGTAAGTAACCCTGGTGTCACCAATTATGCGAACTAAATTAATGTTGATATACAAAAAGATAAGTCAATGTATAATGCAAGTGTGATTCAACGCTAGCCAACTGCTGTAGCCAGTTATGCAATTGATGGTTGTATACTAAGTGTATACAGATAATCAGAGGAGTTATTGTGAAGAGGATATTTACATGTATGCTGAATGTCTTTCTATTCGACTACCGGTGGGTCATATGTAAGGCCCGGCATGGCCAGGTGGTTAGGGCGCTCGACTCGCAATCTGAGGGTCGCGGATTCGAATCCCCGTCACACCAAACATGCTCGCCCTTTCAGCCGTGGGGGCG